TAAGACGCTATTGGTAGAGTAAAGTTAAGTCAAACGAAAAAAAAAAAGGTCTAAATACTTTTCCAACGTGCTTTATGGGGCAAAACGTTAGGGTATAAGTAAGTCTTCTTGTATCGTGACCAAAAAAAAAACAGCAAGTCTTTGTATCGTGTCTTGAGGGGCAAATGCAAGGACCATATTAGTTTTGACATGGTCAATCATATCAATAATAATGTTAAGATGTCTATATAATTCAACTCTTCTCTTCACTCCTCTTTATACATCTCTTAACTTATTAATGGCTAATAAACTCTTTTATTTTGTATTGATGACCGTGTTTCTATTGCTTAGTGTATGCAAAATCTGGTGGGAATCTGCGAATAAACCGCAAGGTAAACACTAAAATTTAGCCGCTAAATATGTAAACTACCATTCAATTTTTTTGTTGTGTACAATTATTTTCTCATGTATATAAATTTTTGTTTCCTTTAGTATACACGGCAAAAGAGTGGCTCGAGAGGCATTTTGGACCAGGAGCTATGTTTCTTCGTACCGGATTTCACAAAGACCAAGAGTATTTTAGATCGCATTTTATGCTATAGATCTATTACACCAAGTTCACATGTATCAAGTTTTCTCAATGGCTATACTTTTTATTTTAATAAAACTAGAACATTAAATTTAATAAAACCTATATATATCCGTAGAAACGGGCCATATGTCGGCAGATTCGGGTCGGGGAGCGAATCGAAAGCCCAACCAAGATATGGAGCCAAGCCCTAGTTTTACTTTGGCGTACTTTAAACACATTTTCTGTATGACTGTATCCTACGCCGTTCATTTTTTTTTAAATGTTTAAATATGCTTTAGTAAGATACTAACATGCATGAAAATATTCGAACATATCTTAGCAATAAATATAATATATTTTCCCCCTTAGTATTCGACGACTAACCGGATAATAAAAAAAATACTATATGGGTTAAATAAATATTTTCTCGATTATTGAGACAAATGCTTCCGCTAAACTCGTGCTTTCCTCCCTTCCTTTTATAGCTTGTTGCCCATTTCTCGGACAAATTAAGTTTTATTGATCATTTAAAAAAAAATTATAGTTTCCCAGAAAAATAAAAAGTTATTAATATTTTGGAGTAATCTAAACATTTTAAAATATTTTCATAGAAAATAACACTAACTATTTCTGCATCTGCCTTCTTTTTCTGTCATCAAATATTTTTTAATTTCCATTCATGCTTCCCAACCAAATATTCTCCTGATTGTGCCTCTACAATGTAATTTATATTTATTTAATTATGGGCTTTACATGAAATAATAAATAAAATACTGACAATTAATTAAAAAAACGTTTTCGGTTTCATAATTCAGTTTACGCTGCTTATTGACGTGGGAACATACTTGTAATTTAATTTATATATTGTCGTCCATTTTATAATTTTAAAATTATACCCACTGATTTTTTTGGAAGATACGTATTGTGAATGTATAAGGGATTTCTAACATAATTATGACTCTCGAGACTTAAGATATTTTATTGATTAACCGAAAACATAAGCAACATAATCGTGGATAAACGATCTAACGTATAAGAAACATGAGACAGGTCACAATCACAATAAAAGTTTTCCGATCATAACTCGAGTAGGAGCACATGAAATTGATATATACATTAATTTTTTTTTATCTATTCTAAACGCCTTATTTATTATTTTTTTTTTTGGAGGGAACTGAATTTGCCAAGTTGCAAACAGTGGAGTTAAGTTTTCAGGGTTCGAAGGGGGAAAATAAAGCATCATATGGTCTATGGTTTTATTTTCCTATTCTCTTCATTTCTCCTAAAAATCTGGTATCGTAAATGCGTTAAAAAAAACCTTATGCCGAAGAACTATAATTTCATGGTTAACTAAAAACTGGTTTGGAATTAAATTGATAATTGGTTCAATTCATGTTTGTTTACTGATAATATGTATATTTTTTAAAGATTGTGCGTTTGAGATGTAAAACCAAACACGGGTCCGACTCAAAACTTGTAAAAATGGTACTTATAAATATTAAACTTTGGGGCTACAAAATGTCGTTTGTTAGCCATTGGAAACATTAAAAGTAAACTAGAAATATGGGAATATTGACTCATCTTACTCTTCATGTGGTTGTATTTCATATAATTTCACGTGGCCCAACCTGTTTTTGTCAATCCAATGATCAAAGTTTGTAGACAAGAATGA